TTTCCCTTCAGAGCGCGTTTTGTTTGTATACCCCCGTTTACAATCACAAGGCAACGTTAGTTCACAACACTTTGATTAACACAACAGTGATTCGTTCCTGAATTCATGCATAAACTGTCTGCGAGAGATCCCGGACGATCCCCCATTATGTTGTATATGTTGGTTATCAAAATTTGTTATGTTGTATGCGTGCGTGGGTGAAATTATTATGTTGTATATGTGGGTTATGAATATTCAGTGAAAATAATAATAATTAAATGAAATTTGGCCAAATGTGTAATTATCCGGAAATATGTTAATTTATGTAATTATGCACATTTTAATTATGCCAATTCGAGAGGTAATCGTATTAATTATGCGAGTGGGTGTAATTATGATAATGCAAGTCGTTATGATAACCAGACCCCGCCTCGGTGATGAGGGTGGGTTATCGATCGGAATAAGGCAATTAATCGTATGCAGTTATGCAGGTGTGGTGTAAGTATGCAAGATTAACTTAGATTAACTCGGCATCGTTGTCTAGGTTCGTCTCATTCTCGCTTTAACATTCCCAGAGTGTGTATTCGTGGTTATATTTTAGGTCCCCGGTTCACCCCGTTATCGCTTTAACATTTACTGAGTATGTATTAGTGTGTTTATTAAGGTCACCAAGTTCAGATCTCAACGCAGAAGCAGATCTTATGCATAGATTTCAGGAAAGAATCACACAACCACTTCTGTATTGATCAATTTATTACTAATTCAACCTTAACTATGATATAGTATGCGAACTCTCAATCCCGGAACGTCAACACGGCATCAATACAGTATCATCAACGATTGTCTGATTTCACTTTGACAACGGCACATGGATCCCGCATAACGCGATGGTTGTTAGTGAGAGAGAGAGTCGTTAAAATATGCAAATACTATGCTAAGAAAACCTTAACGTTAATGAATGATCATACTCAATATTGTTCACGCAGTACCGCACTCCTTATTGATCATACGCAACCCTTATCACGTTGTTAGCACCTTGGGTCACGGGACAGTTGAATATTCTGTAGAGGATGCGAGTACGTGCGGCGATTATGACTGAAAGATACTTGAAAGATTATACGGCGATAAAAAAACACAATCAAAAACAGTTATTATTCTTAAAGGCACCAATCTCAACAGATACATCGGCAGGTTATCTGACAACAGAACGGCTCGGAGTAAGGGCCTGCGACGGTGCTCCTTTTCCGAAGATCGTTATCTTATACCAAGTTTACTAATTGGGGACCAGATCACCTGATAAGGATCCGGTGGGCCACCACTCCCCACGTGAGCGTGGCTCGGCGGAAGGAGGTGCCAAGAATCAGTTCGTATTGATGGATCTGTTGGGAATTTATGCGATTAAGAGTACAGCCCACTAAATATTAAAGATAAAAATTACGAATACTCTTATAAACGACGGATGGCCATCACTCGGTCTCGTTGTGATGCCTTCCCAGCCACGGATGGCTTATGGGTTCGAGTGTGTTTGAGTGGTAAGAGTTGTCTTGAATAGTCAGGTGTTCGGAGTCGATTCTTTATGTCAAACAGACGCCTGGTGGTCGTGTGGTGAGGGGGCGGTGCGCGTCATACGTATCAGTCGCTCCCCTGTCACCGTGGTGAACTGGTTCGGATGCCCGTTGATACGCTGTCGCAGTTCGGAACCCGGTCGGTAGGTGGCGCCCACAACTCGCTCGCAGCGTGCAGTGTTGGGTCGTCGACCAGGGTGTGCACGGAGCCTCGTCACCAAACCGCGACCCTCACCACTCCGGCGGCAGCAGAGACCTCCGACTCGGCAGAGGTTGACCCACGCAGGCCGAGTTGAGCTGTCAAGCAGGTCTTGCCCGCCTGCAGAGGAGATGGGGAGCCGCTTGAGTCGAGCGCTGAGAGCCGGCTTTGGTAAGCCGATCGAACTCGGCTGAGTCCCAGACGAGCTGAAGATGAGTCGAGCCGACCCGCTGGTCGCAGCTCGCTCCTGAGCCGACCCTCCCGGTCGAGCTCGCTCCTGAGTCGACCCGCTGGTCGCCTCGCTCCTGAGTCGACCCGCTGGTCGCACTAGTTTCCAATGCTCAGGATCCTTTCCTTTATGCCGAAAAATCCCCCTGGATCCCGCCCACAAGGCGGGGCTTCTTTCGATTTTTGCTGTGTCAGGATCTGTCCGTAGGCAGGTGTGTCCATGTGTGTGTCCGTACGTCCGTATGTCCTTGTGTGCATCACCCACGGTATATTCCGTTGTCACACTCCCTCCATAAAACCCACGAGCAAACAATCAGATGTTACAAATTGCCTCGAGGTCGTCTCTCTGTCTGGGTGCAATATTATCTCTTGTCTGGCCTTCTTCATGAACCCAAAACACAGACGTTACAAATCGTCTCATAGGCGTCTTTGTTCGTGTTGCACCACCTGGAGGGAGGGGCAACACTCTCTCCGACCCGGCGCACAAAGAAATGGTTAAAAAGTTTTAAGTTAACATTTGTCCCTTACTATTTCACAGTTATGATTCTGTATGTAACCTAAGGTCTGTCGTTTCCCATCGTGGTGCTTGACTCAAGTGGAGGTGTTTCCCCGAGCGTATACACACTCCTATCCCGCGCTGCGGGAATACAAAGACGGCCGGGATCTCCCTTTCTCTCCGACCCTGGGTTTAACATCGTTTTTTATTATGTATTTATATTCGACCTGGTGGTGATTCATCCCGTTATCCTGGCTTTTCATAAGTTTTACTTTTGTCTTTTCATGCATATGCTTCGGGTCGAGTTGTATAGAAAGTATTAAAGTATGGAAATAACATTTCATATTGACTTAATGATGGTGATGGTTCAGTAGGCGTAACTTGTGACCTGGTTTAATTGGAGTGGGTGTGAATATCAAACTTTAGCCTACCCTGTTGTTAAATTCCGACTTTAACGTTACTTTAATAGCAATACAGAATAATTGAGCTTTTTGTCTTAACTAGGCGAACGCGAACTTCTGGTGACCCCCGCAGCCTTGTTGTTCAGCTGGGTCTGCCTCCTTGAGAGATATACAACACTCTTATTCTCGTCTCACTGTGGCCATCCAACCTTCTGCTCTGGGAGTGTTATTCTTAATTTCAGGTCCAAGGCCCCCTCACGTTCAGACGTGCAGGGTTGTTTAAATCAGTTCCCTCCCCTGTGCACACAGCCTTGAGCTGACCCACTTATTCCTTGGCCTTTTTGGGTTTATCTTTGTTCCCTCAGCTGCAGGAGGACAAGGCGTACTTCTACCTCCCCCCTGTGTGCACGTGTTCTAACTAGCTCGGAATCCCTAAACACACAATCAGTGATGATTCCTGGCTTTCTGTGGTTGTGATTTAGACAAAGGCGCCTCTGTTTTCTTCCATTGCCTTTGAGTCGACACTGCCCTATTATTTGCCCATGTGCTGAGGTCATAGAATTCGTTTTGACTTCAGTAATATTAACATTCAGTATTGGATTAGCAAATGGGCAATGGTTCATTGATGTAGCTCGCAGCCTGGTCTCCAATTTGAGCGAGCGCGAGGATCGATAATTTAGCCTACTCTGTTGTTGAATTTCGAATTTTGACGTTACTTTAAAACCATGCAGGATGGTTGGGCTTTTTGCCTTAACTATGTCTGGCTGACACTCCCACTGTCTCTGCCGCCTGCACGGGTGACATGTGCCCGTTCATCAGGCCTTATCTTTCCTTGAAGCAAGGTTGCAAATTCTGCCATCCTAGCCCTCCTCCAGTTCATTACTTAACAACACCTGGTGTTTTGCAGTTTGCTGCGCTTTGGTGTGTTTCCTTCATTAAAAAAAACAAGTAAAAAGATAATATATAAAAATATCATCAAATATTATTAATCTCAATTTTGGAAGAAGGGTTAGTATACAACAGGGGGTATGGGGAGAGGGAGGTTTAGTGGGTACGGGAAGTACGGGGGTACCTAGGGATGGAGGGAAGGATGGGCCAGGGAGAATAGGCTGTGTGGGTCTCGAGGGCAGGCGCGGCAACTCGACAAGGAAGGATGTGCTTCTTGCTTCATGCGGAGGGGAAGTCTGTTCCAGGGCAAGATGGGAAAAGGTGCGGAAACGGTGGATTGTGCACGAGGAGAGGGGGACGGTGAGGAGAGATTGAGAGTGGAGCGAGTGGGAGGGGGCATGAAACGAGACGAAGGATGATTTAAATTCCGCCCTTGTGAGTGACGTTTAATCTGAAACATCATTAGGATCTACAAAATGCATCTAGATCAGAATTGGAGTATATATTTATACCGGAGGAATCCGATTAGATGTAAAGCTCTTTTTCACAGATGTCCAGCAGAGGCACGGGGTACAAACGTTACAGAAATAAACACGACACAAACACAATTGGAGTGCAAAACACTTAAATTACACAAATGAAACTAAACAATTATTTATCTTACCAGGTAAAGCCCACTGAGGTATTATTTTTCAGAAGCGACCTGGCCACAATTGATAGCTTAACAAAGTGGATTATCACGTCAAAATTTACCACAGCAAAATATTCTAAATAATTTCAATGCGCCTTTGTAAATGTGGAGGGGAAACAGCCGGATAATAAAAACCCACGCGACCACGGGGAGTGTGGGAGAGAGACACGCAAACTACAAATATACAGCGGCAGGCATCAAGGGTTGGGATCGAACCTACGATGCACTGTGACGCAACAGGTGCGGAGCGGGTGGGCGGTCTGGCGTGGATCGTTACATCGCAGGGAGGAGGCCTTCATCCAGCAGTGGATTGACCATGGCTGATGGTGGTGGTGGTTGTGGTGGAGAAGGCTTGGGGTCGCCTTCAGCAGTGAATTGACTAAGGCTGATGATGATGATGGTGGAGAAGGCTTGAGAAGGCCTTCATCCAGCGTTTGATTAACCATGGCTGATGATGGCGGTGGTGGTGGTGGAGAGGGCTTGGGGTCGCCTTCATCCAGCAGTGGAATGACCATGGCTGGTGACGACGTACGTGTTGCGTGTGTGCTCACAGGTGCCACGTTCACGAGCGGGGGGAGGCTGACGGAGGTGGGTGTGTTTGTGAGGGAGGTGGAGAGGCACACGCTGGATGGCCTCGGGCTGTGCACTTCACTCAAGCCCAGCATTCAAGGTGGACGATTGCGTTTACACTCACAGACACAAAGATTTAACACGTAAGCGTTCGCGACCAAAATTATCCATAATAGAGGCTTTTCGGGTTAGATCGCATAAATATGCAATGTGTCGTTAAACCCGCCACGGCCATTTGATAAGGTTTGTCACCTAAACAAAACATGCCAATTCATTACTCGTTCAGCACACCCGTAATAGCAATACAGGGGCTCATCTACTTATGAACGAGTTTGGTTCCAGAGGTCTGTTCTGTTCGTAAGTCGATTTGTGCGTAAGTACAACTTTACTCCTGACGATTCCAAGCACGTACGGCATGTGGACTAAACACGGGGGAATGGCTTTAAAAGTTATATAATTTCCTGTAGATGTAGATGCCACCGGTTATTCACGTTCTGCAGATGTAGATGCCACCAACGCCATCTATTGCGCGGCGGTTGAACTTACGACTGTCGGTCCGAACAGGCAACTGGACATACGGACAGGATTGTTCGTATCTCTGAAAGTTCATGAGTCGAATGTTTGTAAGTAGAGGAGTCCCTGTGATTCCACGTATATCGCGGCTTTTCATCAAGGATCTCAGAGCGCTGTACAGGACACAGCAGCAGCAGCAGACACTCAGCATAAAAATAATTTTATTATAAATGCATCTTAAGAATCCATTTACTAAATGAACTCACTGTTTAACAAGCGTAAGCGTGTATAAATACGTTTTAGGATGCATACAAAAAAAATGATTTTCAGAGCGATCCCTCTGATACTCTTTGGTTTTTTGGTCTTTTTCGGTAACACAAGTGTGTGTTGCGCCCGAAACGTCTTTTAATTTATTAAAACATTTTATCTACGTGACTTTACCGAAAAAACTAAAGAGTATGAATCCTTGCAGTCACGAAAACTTCAAATCTAGGATCCCTCTGATGTCTCGTGGAAGAGCGTTCCATAGCCTGGGGGCTACGCGGAGAAACATCATCGGTCACTCACAAAGCGAAGACGCCTCGACCTGGGGATGCAGAGAGAAGATCTGCAGCCCCCACATCTTATGGGCCTTGAGGGGGACGTATGGGTGCGGCTTGTCAATGATGTAGGCTGGGGCATCAAGATGGTCCACCGCTTTGTTGAGTTAATAATAAAATATTTAAAAATACTTTTTTTTTTAAACACGCTTTAATGAAATGTACTGTCCGAGCTGCCCCTCCCCCTGCCCCCTTCCCCCATCGCCCCTCCCCCCCTTCCACATCCTCTGTCCCTCGGTGTGGCTCCCCGTTGCTTGCCGTGACGTAAGGGACCACGTGGTGATTTACAGGCAACGTGAGTTGGGCGTCGACAATTAGAGCCGTAAACGTGGACAGTTAGAGCCGTAAAAAAGATTGTTTTAAAATATATATTTTCAATTTTCAATGATAGAATATAGTATTGTCATCAGTATGACATACCTATACCAAGTTTGCAGTCGATAGCACATTGGGAAGTGGGTAAAAATTGAGTTAGAAGATTTTTGAGGATACGACAACAGATGGAGTGAGTTAAATAAAAGCGTGTGAAAGAGGAATTCAAACTGGATTCTATGTGAGACTGAAAGCCACTGCAGGGAGAGCCAAGACGGGTGTAATAAGATGTGACGGTGTTCAGGTTAACAATCTATAGCAGCCGCATTATAACCACGCTGAACGTGCCCACCTCCACAGACGGCGCTGCTGCTACTCGCTACTAACAGCACTTTCCCTGACAGTCTGTTAAGGCTCTACGGTTGGCGGAGTGTGGTGGTGGGGGGAGGTCGATCTTTATGTCTTTGCGTCTGCTGCAGATTTGGCTCCCGCACTGGACCTCAGGAACTGCATCATGAGTCCCAAGAAATGCCACGAGGTGCAGACGATGGCGGGGGCCGTGGCGAGCCTCGCCCAGAGCTGCGGACTCCACCAGGTGAGAGCTACGGGACACAATTTCTTTGTTGATTTAATGTGAGGATATATCCGGGTCGTTGACGGATCACAACTCGTCATGATGATTGGCTCTGCTGGTCCTGGTCCATAGCCAATGGGGGGAAGCCTAGGGGCGTGGCAATGACGTCATGGGAATGGGACATCTGTAAGCAGAGGATTGGTTCTGCTGGCTTTGGCCACAGCCAATGGGGAGACGAGTCAGGGGCGTGGTCCCGGGAGCCTACGGTGGAGTCTGGAAGATTCCATAGAGGCTAACCAGGATTGGTGGAAAGGAACCACGTGACCCGGGTATTAAATAGGGGTGGAGACGAACAACACGTGGTCAGAACTGGAACGAACGGAGGGTGAGGCCACGCGCGAGTGGGGGTCCAGGCTGCCACGTGGTCCAGGCTGCCACATGGTCCAGGCTGCCACGTGGTCCAGGCTGCCACGTGGTCCAGGCTGCCACGTGGTCCAGGCTGCCACGTGGCTGCGCGTGTCTCTCTATCCCTCTCACGCTGTCTGTCAGCAGCGTGAAGGAGTGTTGTAATGAAAGACGAATAAAGACCGGATTCCAGAAGTCCCTTCAACGACCTTTATTACATTAACAGTGGTCAGCCACGGCGGAGGTATTAGTCCTGCCGTGTTTCAGATCTGCCTTGTGCTCGCGAATACGGTCCGACACATGCCGTTTCGTTTCCTCGATGTAACAATCCGCATCGCCAGTTTCTTCAGCCTCCTACCCTCCAGTCCTGCTCACTTCCCAGACCCGGCATTGTGTTGCAGCTTGCACTTCGCCACTCCCCCTACCCCACACCCCCACCCTCTCTATCTCTCCTCCCTGGCTCCCCCCCCCCCCTTACGTGTATATAGCCGCGTGTCACAAGCAGCCTCCTTTTGCCCATTTCAGCAATTTGTTTATTGCTGGGGTTGTTTCCACCTGCTGACGGGTACTTGTGTTGCGCCAGAAACGTCGTGAATTTATTTAATTTTCTACCTACGTGACTTTACCGAAAGAACCAAAGAGTATGGATCATTGCAGTCACGAAAACTTCAGATCTAAATTGTGGCCATGTTTGTTTCTGGGAAAAAAGAGCTGAATAAAGCCAACCCCTGCCTTTACCTGATAAAATAACTAAGTTTGAGTAGTTTTATTAAAGAGCCGCGGGCAACTCGGGAGACGCCAGTGTGGCCCCCGGCGGCCTGTGGTTTTAACCCGCGCCCCGTTCTGCGCGTGCGCACGTGCGCACGTCCTCGCCCGTGTCCCCAGGTGGTGGAACTGGGCTCGGGCAAGTCGTACCTGGGCTCGGAGCTGGCCTGGCGCTACTCGTTCCGCGTCGCCGGCCTGGACTCGAGTCCCACGGTGACGCGGGGAGCCGAGCGGCGGGAGGGGAGGCTGCTGGACAGACGGCGCGGAAGGGGAGGGGGCGGAGGCCGGGCGGCGGGGAGGCCGGGCGAGACGTCGGCCGTCCCGCAGAGTGCACGCCCTGGCGAGGCGGGAGGTCACGCGACGGTGAACGCTCACGTGACCCCCGGCACCGACCTCCAGGTGGTGCTGGCCGACTCCGGGGTGAGCCGACGAGAGCGTGGGGTGCCACAGTGGCGAGTTGTTAACTACCACGCCTGGGCGTGTGGATGTACCTTGAACTTCTTTCGCACCGCCATACGGAGCCGACCCTGCTCATCGGAGGTGCGGGGGAAGGACAATAAACTAAGCGCAAAAAGCAGTTCTAAAGAAACTCGATGATGATTTACAACTGCAGAATAGCTCCCGGTGGCTTCCTAGTATCGGAAGAAAGAGCGTTCAAGATGGCCGCAGAAGCGCATCTGAAAGCGCGCGATGCGGAGTCTGTCTTTGTAGGATGGCCGAGCCAACAGCCGCTGTGAGGATGGTACGGAGGACGGCGTGGGTTCAATCCCGACCCTGACACCTGTTGTATATTTGAAGTTTGCGGTGTCTCTCTCTTTCTCCCTGTGGTCACGTGATTTTTTCTCCGCGTCCTCCGGTTTTTCCCCTCCGCATTTAGAATCAGCATCGCGCGTTTAGAGCATTTAGGTGTGGGGAGCTCCTCCGGCAGGCAAGGCTGCGTTGGCTGGGTCATGTAGCCCGCATGTCCAGCCACCGCATGCCTAAACAGCTTTTGTTCGGCCGGATCGAGGGGGCTAAATGGGCGCGGCACGGGCTAGAGAAGAGATGGAGTGATGTGGTACAGGAGGACGTGGAGCTGAGTGGACTTGCCGATGACCGGTACCAGCGGTGTCAAGATCGGCCTTTGTGGAGGAGGCTCGTGAAGGACGCTACTGGGCAGTTGGAGGCAGTCGCCCTCCAACAACAGCAGAGGGCGGAGGAGCGACGCTCACAACAACGAGTGGAGCGCCGGGTGGCTAAAGCACAGCAAGTTGGCACAGTAGGGGGCACAGGTGGTGCATCAGCCAGTCATCTTGGTCATCTCAGTCAGTCGACCCGTGGCACCTAGGTCTGCCCCGAGACCTCCTGCCAGCGGGCGTTAGACACTTCACGTGGCCTCAAGGTGCACATAGCCTGGCACAAGCGTCGTGGTGACGTCACCGCCACTTAGTGGCGAATGGCGGTTGTTGTTGGAGCGTTAGTGTAGTGGTCTGCGCTACAAACTTGGCGACCCGAGTTCGATTCCCGCTCATGGCCACCAACACCAGTGACGATTATCGGAACCGGTCCTGGACCTCCCCCAGGTCGACTCAGCCTCAAAATTAGTACCTGTTGCGGTGTGCAGTAAACATCGCCACTGGGCGAGACAAAGACCGCCAGGTGTGGTGCTGGCCACCCACCTCCTCGTGTGCCGTGCCAGCCTTCATCGGTGCTTGCTAACAGACTTGCCCCCAACAGTCTGTGAAGGCTACATGGGGGACCTTCGCCGTTGTTCTTGTAGGTGTGCGTGAGTGAGGGCGTGCTGCTGGCCGGCCTGCACGCGTGTGGCGACCTCTCCTCCACCGCGGTTCGTCTCTTCTGCTCCTCCCCGCATGCCCGCGCCCTCTGCCTCGTCAGCTGCTGCTACCACCGCCTCACAGAGCAAGGAGACGCGGGTACGCACGCACCGCGTAGGCACGCACGCATACGCATATGTCGGCATGCGCACACACATACGTACGCACAAACACGTACATAGGCACGCACACACACGTGCGTACGCACACACACAGAGCGAGGGGGACACGTACACATATGCACACACACATACACGTGCTTATGTACACACACACGCGTACGTACACAAACACAGCGAGGGGACCCATGTACTTACGCACACATGCCCGTATGCACACACACACACACACCCGTACACGCATACACAAAGGGCACAAGGACACACACATGCACACACATACAGCGCAGGGACACATGTACATACACGCATATAGACCAAACAATCTGTTAACAGTTACACGAGGGATCTTCATTTTTATTGTTTTGCTCTGTGTGTTATGTTACCAGTAATCTGTAGATTCACATATTCTGTCAGCGTGGTGAAGCACGGTTGAAAGTGACGCTTCATTGTTTTTTGTAATTTCTGCAGGTGAGAATCTGTCCTCCTTGCCAGGATTTCCTATGAGCCAGAAGCTGTCCTCAATGCAGTGCATGCTGGGAAGGAATGCCCGCATGACGGCATGTTTGGTAAGGGCAGCACCGACTTCTCTCTCTTTGTCTCTCTCTCGCTGCCTCTGAGCGGCATGGCCATTATGAACCCCTTCACAGAGACATCCAGTCCCAGGGCTCAAACTGAGCATGGTGGCTATGATATGTTAACTACCTCGCCTGGTATACAGGAGGTCGTGGGTTCGATCCCGACCCTGACGCCTGTTGCTTTATATTTGGAGTTTGCTTGTGTGTGTCTCTCTCTCTCTCTACCGCCGTGATCGCGTGGATTTTTCTCCGGGTCCTCCGTTTTTCCCCCCCCCCCACATTTAGAATCAATGTCACACGTTTAGAGTGTCTGGCTTCTATACATTGCCACGTGATGATGATGATAAGCCACTTCGTTGAGCTATAATTTGTGGCCAGGTCACTTCTGAGAAAGAGCTACACAGCTCGGTGGAATCGGTGAGCGGGAATCGAACCAGGGTTTCCGGGTTCGTAGCGTGGTTCTACAGCTCCCCACTACACATATGCGTAAAAAATATCTATTTGACCAGGTGATCTGGCCACAAATGATAGCTCAACGAAGTGGCTAATCATGATGTGGACATTTATAGCAGTAGCCAAATACTCTAAATGCACGTCGATTCTAAATGTGGAGGGAAAAAGCGGAGGACCCGGAGAAAAATCCACGCGATCACAGAGAGAGAGACATGCGCAGACTCCAAATATACAGCAGGCGTCGGGCTCGGGATCTAACCCATGACCTCCTGCATATGGCCAGGTCACTTCTGATACATGTGTAGTGTGCTCCTCGTCAGTGTGTGTGTGTGTAGCACACACACGAGGACATGAGGTAGTTGCAGGAGGCACCTTCTCTCTCTTTCCGTTACACCAACTCCGGCCTCCCTTCTCAGCCACGTTGCCATACAGCCCGGCCCAGACACGACCCTGACCGCGTTGCACTGACGGCGTCGACCGAGACAGCCAACGACGGTCTGGCCACGTAATTATTGGGCAAAGGCGGCAGCAACGAAGGCGGTGAAGACGACAGCGACGACGAGACGAGTCCACTCCCAGAACCGGCAGCCCGTAGCTCTCACTCTCCGCTGCTTTATTCTACTCGGCGCGCCCTGGCTCCGCCCTGGCTCCGCGCTGGCCACGCCTCCCTTCTCGAACGCACGAGCGAGTTCCAGGGGCCTCCCGATGAGGTCTTCCGTGACCCTTGCCCCAGTTCCTCCGCCCTGCCGGCACTCACAGCCGTGTACGCGCTCGGCGGCGTGAGTGCGCTGACTGCCCACTGCAGTTGCCGCTGCTGGACAGCAGTCGGCGCTGTGTCACTACAGCAACAGCCGCCATTCGCCACTAAGTAGCGGTGACGTCACCACAATGCTTGTGCCAGGCCGTGTGCACCCTGAGGCCACGTGAGTGTGGCGAAAGCCCGCCGGCAGGAGGTCACGGGGCAGACCCAGGTGCCACGGGTCGACTGACTGAGATGTGTCACTACGCATACACACGTACCTACACACGAGTGAATGTTGCTCCCACGCCCATCTAAGTGAACGTTCTCCCCCCCGTGTCTCCCGCAGTCTCGGGAACGAGCGAGGCATGGCAAAGGGGTGAGTGTGCGAATGCCTCTCCCAACGTGGGTCACGCGCGTGGGAAGCTGCCACCCACAGTGGGCGGCGGTAGGGGCGGTGGTGGTGGTGGCGGTGGTGGTGGTGGTGGTGGTGGCGGTGGTGGTGGTGGTGGCGGTGGCGGTGGTGGTGGTGGAGGCGGTGGTGGTGGAGGTGGTGCTGGTGGTGGTGGCGGTGGTGTTGGCGGTGGTGGTGGCGGCGGTGGTGGTGGTGGTGGCGGTGGTGGCGGTGGTGGTGGAGACGGTGGTGGTGGTGGTGGAGGTGTAACGGTCGACAGCGCGATTGGTTCATCGTAAAGGTTTTTTGTTTGTGGTTAGATCGCAGTACCGTTGTCACATCGTAACGCACGCGGTGTTTACACAACGCAAATCGCGATCGAAGTGAAACGGTTAGTCAACATCTGATAAGCTGAATTTGCATGCAATCAAACGGTAATGTGGGGTTACTCTCCGACACACAAGCCAGCGTGCGGCAAAGTCGTCGCCAGCTGGCACGTTCTGTTGACGTGGCAAACCCTCACTCTGCTCGGCCGTGTCGGGTGGCAGTGAGTTTGACGACGCAACGTTTATATTCACACGATCTCGAACCCAAACAACATAACCTTCTTTATAAATACGGTCGTGTCCTCCTGTAAGGCGGCCGGGGTCGTAGTAGTTTCCTTCCTGAAGAACACCACATCATGGAAAAAGCACGTTATAACAAATAATATATAATGTAGGGTAAAGCAGAGTCCGTGATGATGGCGTGGGATGCGTAACGCAGGGCCTGAACAAAGGCCGAGGTACGTGGTGTAGTAGCGTCTCGAAGAATCATCCAGCAGCATCCCACAATGCCTTGCGTGATAATGATGATTATGCTACACTATACACGACACTACTATACACTGCACTAATTAAGCGACGGGAAACGTTAAGATACAACTTACTTCGTTTCATCAACCCCCCCCCCCCCCTGTGTGTTTATTAACATTATACAAACACGTTGGTAGAAAAAATAATATAATAATAGATCACGACGTTTCGAACGTGACTTTACCGAAAGAACCAAAGAGTATGGATCCCTGCAGTCACGAAAGCTTCAAATCAAGATCGCATACTAATTACTCGTGTTGCCTAAAAGCATCTGCATGCGTAGAGAACTGCAGAGCTTTGGGGTCTTTGTTTTTACGCCGGATCGCCGCTCGTTGCTGCTGCCCCTTGCCGCTTGGGGAGTCTGTCCAGCAGTGGATAGATCAAGCCTGGCATTGTACTGCGTGTCACCGTTGTGTGTGTGTGTGTCAGTGCGTTTGTGTGTGTGTGTCAGTGCGTTTGTGTGTGTGTGTCAGTGCGTTTGTGTGTGTGTGTGTCAGTGCGTTGTGTGTGTGTGTGTGTCAGTGCGTTTGTGTGATTGTGGTGTGGACGGTGGAGAGCGGCAGTGCAGCGGTTCGCGCCACGCTGCGCTACGAACCCCGGCGACCCGAGTTCCATCCTCGCTCACGGCCAACAACACCGGTGACGATTATCTGAACCGGTCCTAGATCGACTCGGCCTCAAATGAGTACCTGGTGCGGTGTGTAGTAAACATCGCCACTGGGGAGACAAAGGCGGCCGGGCGTGGTGCTGGCCACCCACCCCCTCGTGCGCCGTGCCAGCCTTCATAGGTGCTACTCTCGAACAACACTTGCTCCAACAGTCTGTTAAGGCTATACGGGGGATCTTTGTCTTTGTCTGTATTAAGCTCCCTACAGATTCGCTGTTTTTCTGGGCCGTGCTGCAAGTACTCATCCGAGACCATTACGACTCCGGCTCCAGGTATTGAGCGTGAGATGCGGCTCAATGGTTGTGCACGGCTGTCTCCTTCTCCTGCGCAGCTGCAGGGCGTGCGGGTTCGAGCCCCTGACGCTGGCTGTCTTGTCCCTCCCTGGGTGGGATCAGGAAACTCTGCACGTGAAGAAATCGCCCGCTAGGTGTCTCCCTCTGTCTCTCAGATTGGTGGAAATATTTACCAAAAGAGCTTTACACAAAGCCAAAGGGACAAAGATCCCCCTCCCCGTATAGCCTTAACAGGCTGTTGGGGCAAGTGCTGTTAGTGTAGCGAGAACCTATGATAGGCACGGAGCACAGGGGGGTGGTTAACCAACCCAAAAACAAAGATCCCCCGTATAGCCTTAACAGCCTGTTGGGGAAAGGCCGGCACGGCAGCACCACGGCCGGCCACCTTTGTTTCCCCAGTGTGGCGATGTTTACCCCACACCGTGCCAGGTACTCGTTTTAGGCTGAGTCGACCTAGGGCAGGCCCAAGACCAGTTCAGATATTTGTCACCGGTGTTATTGGCCGTGAGCGGGAATCGGACTCGGGTCGCCAGGTTCGTAGCGCAGCGCGCTAACCGCTACACCACCACTTACACATTCACACACTGTGAACACAATCATCACCCGCCTTGATCTACCCACTGCTGGATGAAGGCCTCCCCGTAGGCACCACCACCTCTCAGATCCTACGATTTTGTCGCTCCGTCTACCCGGTGGACTTCCTCTATCACGTAGGGCTGGCAATACCACAGCGGTATCACGTAGGGTAGGCTGGCAATACCACGGATGTTAACTACCTCGCCTGGTACACAGGAGGTCGACCCTGATGCCTGTTGTATATTTGGAGTTTGCGTGTCTCTCTCCCTGTGGTCGTGTAGATTTCTTTCCGGGTCCTCCAGTTTTTCCCTCCACATTTAGAATCATGCATTTCGAGTATTTGGCTGCTGCACATTTCCACTTGATGATGAGCCACTTCGTTGAGCTATGATTTGTGATGGTCACTTCTGAAAAGAGCTTTCTAGCGCAGTGGGCCTCACCTGGTAACATAAAAATAGTTTATAGTTTTAATATCACGTAGGGCTGGCAATGGCACAGCGATACCGTACAGTGGTACCCCGGAGGTCGAACTTAATTCGTTCCAGAAGGCCACTCGAACACCGATTTGTTTGAACACGGAATTAATTTTCCCATAAGAATTAATGTGAATGACATTAATTGGTTCCAGACACAAGAAATCTCTCATTATGAAGCATTTTTACACGAAGTTTACAGTAATCACATGCATAAAATCATACTAAAATAAGTATAACCCGTAAAAACAAAGTTTTTCACTATAAATCCTTTATATGCGTGGCGGCTAGAGTCCTCTCGTCCTCTGGCTTGAGATGGCTGCCACCTATGGGTCAGATGATTGCATTGCACCATTAAAGCAATTGGTAATTAAATATAATATTTTTGTCCTAAAAAGTGTAAAATTTTGGAAAAAAATTTTCACGAACATTAATTGTCACGCACAACGAGTCTGTGTGCAAAATGTCAGCTCAATTGGATCACGGGAAGTGGGTTAAAAAACGACCGAAAGATTTGCACGGTCCTAAGCAAGCAAGCGAACTTAATATAAAGGATTTAAAAACAAGAAACACAAATGGAATAAATGAATAAATATATGGAATAAATGAAATGAATGAACATTGAACTTCACTTTACCTGCAGTAAGGAGAGTTGATGGCTTGAGTGGAAGGTGGTGAGGAGGAGGAGGAGGAGGTGGTAAAACCTTTGTCTGGGCAAGCGTCATGCACGCTGGCCATACGCGTCTCAGCCGTACAGGTTCTTTCAAGTGGCGATTGTCCGTTTGACCTCAGAATTTCGTTCGGTTTCCGGAGCAAAAAATGTTCGGAAATGTCGTTCGTACACCCGATTTGTTCGAGTTCTGGTGCGTTCGATCTCCGAGGTGCTACTGTGTTTGCCAGGAAATACTCCACATCTCATTACTCGCCATGATCTGAGCACCGTTGTTCAGTGTTTTGTTATTGTTGTTGTTGTTTCTCAGCGACGAGCACGTGGGAAAGGTGTTCTCGAAGAGCCGGAGCTTTGTCGATTACTGCCGAAGAGTCCTGGAGAAGATGGGGCTTGATCACGCCAAGGTGAAACTTTCCGATGCTTTGTCCCCCCGCGTACCTGTTAACCGTGTGGCATCCTGCAAAGATTAACGCCGCTGCAGTTTTCTGGAGGTTAACCCCACCGTAGGTTAACGCCTCCGTGTGTTTAAAGACAAATAAATCTCGCAGAGCAATTGCAAACCCTCCGTTAGAGAACGGAGGGTTTCCACGTGTCTGTGTGTGTGTGTCTGTGTGTGCGTGTCTGTGTGTGCGTGTCTGTGTGTGCGTGTTTGTGTACGTGTCGGTATATCTGTGTGCGTGTCTCTGTGCCCGTGTCTCCGTGTACGTCATCGGAACAGGAAAGGGTTAAGTGCAGAATTGAATTGAATATGATGTTGGTGTGCAGAAATTTGTGACAGGGCTGAAGCCATCTATCGATGCAGTCCTGATCTATGTCTGTAGTTTCACGCCACCATAGATGCTCCGTTATTCTTTGCTCGTGTGTGTGTTCCTATACAGCTCACAGATTCTGAAATCCAGAGCTACCATGACCGTTACATCGACAGAAAGGTCGAACTTGAAGCTTTCAATCAGGTAAACTACTTATTTCACAAGTGAGATTCTGTATTCTGATCTCTCTCTCGAAATCAGCTCAAGCCTCCGGTCTCTGTGTGCGTGTCCGTGTCTCTGTCTGCGTGTCCGTGTCTCTGTGTGCATGTCTCTGTGTGCGTGTCCGTGTCTCTGTGTGCGTGCCCGTGTCTCTGTGTGCGTGTCTCTGTGTGCGTGTCCGTGTCTCTGTGTGCGTGCCCGTGTCTCTGTGTGCGTGTCTCTGTGTGCGTGTCCGTGTCTCTGTGTGCGTGCCCGTGTCTCTGTGTGCGTGTCTCTGTGTGCGTGTCCGTGTCTCTGTGTGCGTGCCCGTGTCTCTGTGTGCGTGTCTCTGTGTGCGTGTCCGTGTCTCTGTGTGCGTGCCCGTGTCTCTGTGTGCGTGTCTCTGTGTGCGTGTCCGTGTCTCTGTGTGCGTGTCCGTGTCTCTGTGTGCGTGCCCGTGTCTCTGTGTGCATGTCTCTGTGTGCGTGTCCGTGTCTCTGTGTGCGTGCCCGTGTCTCTGTGTGCGTGTCCGTGTCTCTGTGTGCGTGCCCGTGTCTCTGTGTGCGTGTCTCTGTGTGCGTGTCTCTGTCTGCGTGTCCGTGTCTCTGTGTGCGTGCCCGTGTCTCTGTGTGCGTGTCCGTGTCTCTGTGTGGTGTCTCTGTGCGCGTGTCACTGTGCGCGTGTCTCTGTGTGGTGTCTCTGTGCGCGTGTCTCTGTGCGCGTGTCTCTGTGCGCGTGTCTCTGTGTGGTGTCTCTGTGTGGTGTCTCTGTGTGGTGTCTCTGTGCGCGTGTCTCTGTGTGGTGTCTCTGTGCGCGTGTCTCTGTGCGCGTGTCTCTGTGTGGTGTCTCTATGTGGTGTCTCTGTGTGTGTCTCTGTGCGCGTGTCTCTGTGTGGTGTCTCTGTGTGGTGTCTCTGTGCACGTGTCTCTGTGCGCGTGTCTCTGTGTGGTGTCTCTGTGCGCGTGTCTCTGTGCGCGTGTCTCTGTGTGGTGTCTCTGTGCGCGTGTCTCTGTGTGGTGTCTCTGTGCGCGTGTCTCTGTGCGCGTGTCTCTGTGCGCGTGTCTCTGTGCGCGTGTCTCTGTGTGGTGTCTCTGTGCGCGTGTCTCTGTGCGCGTGTCTCTGTGTGGTATCTCTGTGCGCGTGTCTCTGTGTGGTGTCTCTGTGCGCGTGTCTCTGTGTGGTGTCTCTGTGCGCGTGTCTCTGTGCGCGTGTCTCTGTCTGCGTGTCCGTGTCTCTGTGTGCGTGTCCGTGTCTCTGTGCGCGTGTCTCTGTGCACGTGTCTCTGTGCGCGTGTCTCTGTGTGCGTGTCCATGTCTCTGTGTGCGTGTCCGTGTCTCTGTGTGCGTGTTTCTGTCTCCGTGCATCCAGATGAAAGCCGCCCTCGCTCCCTGTGTGGAAGCTCTCATTTTAACGGATCGCTTGTGCTATCTACAAGAACAGGTAAACACATTCAACTCTTTGTTAATTTGTAAGGAACGAAACAGTAAGACTTCTCCACAAATCTGGCCGTCGCCTGATGAAGCTGGTTGTAATTACTGGCGAAACGTCGTACTCAGATTGTAAATGTTGTGGCTTGGCTCTCCAACACACCGGTGTGCTGTACTAGTATAATACACTATACACTACACTATACACTACACTATACACTCCACTATGCACTCCACTATGCACTACTATACACTACACTATACACTACACTATACACTACACTATACACTACACTATACACTACACTATGCACTACTATACACTACACTATATACTACTATACACTACACTATACACTACACTATATACTACACTAATATACACTACACTATACACTACACTATACACTACACTACTATACACTACACTATACACTACACTATACACTACTATACACTACACTATACACTACACTACTATACACTACACTATACACTACTATATACTACACTATACACTACACTACTATACACTACACTATATACTACTATACACTACACTATACACTACACACTACACTATACACTACACACTAGTGCTGTACTAGTAACGAATTGGGCACGTTCTGTTTACGTGACAACCCTTACTAGTTGGCTGTGTCGGGTGGTGGCGGTTTTACGACACATTTATTTATTTACGCGATCTAACCCAAAGAACCTCTTATGGATGATATTGGTTGCGAAAGCCTCCCAACTGTTAAAAAAATATAGTCGATTCAGAATGAATACTGAACGATCTTCGACCAACAGATGATGATGGGCGTGCTCAGTGGCAACAATACAAACACTTTACCAGCAGAGCCAGAGATCAATCAAAACCCCGCCCCAATGTTTGTAGAGATATTGCAATGGCTGTACTGTAGGGGCGATCGCGCGGATTTTGGATGTAACCGGAGCACACATATTCGTTGTTCGGTTTCAGCATGTGACCTGTCGTGAACATTTCGAAGAACAGCAATGCATCACTGTTATTAGATGATTAATTTTTGGCTGAAGGGAAAATCCCCGGGTTGTTAGCTCGTGTCAAAATCTCGATTTGAAGCTTTCGTGACTGCAGGAATCCATACTGTCTGGTTCTGTCGGTAAAGTGTCAAAATCTCAGCGCGCCCGGTTAATCTGCAAGTCGGAAAATTTAAATAAATCACAACGTTTCGATTGCAACACAAGCGATCATCGTCGCCGGTGTTGCAATAGAAACGTCGTGATTTATTCTTATTTTATACCTCCGTGACTTTTACCGAAAGGTAGCAGAGAGTTTCGTGTCAAAATCTCAGCGCGCCCGGTGAATCCACAAGTCGGATGATCCGCGCATGCCGACAACCAAGAGTCTATCGTGGAGAGCAGTGGTTCTTAATCTTCACCGTAACCTCAGTCTCAGTCGTACAATGTGTTTTTGTAGAATGTTTATAAACAGACCAGGGGGTTGATGAGACGAAGTAAGTTGTGACTTCACATGCCCCGAGGCTTAATTTGTGTTTCGGTGATTTAGCTTCTAAAAAAAACCTGGCCACGTCTCGCTACCCCCCCCCCTAGAAGGGCATCTCGCATCTCCAGGGGATGCAGCGTGCACCCCAGGTTAAGAACCACTGGTGTGTAGTGTATAGTGTAGTGTATAGTGTAGTGTATAGTGTAGTGTGTAGTGTAGTGTATAGTGTAGTGTATAGTGTAGTGTATAGTAGTGTGTAGTGTAGTGTATAGTGTAGTATATAGTGTAGTGTATAGTGTAGTGTATAGTGTAGTGTATAGTGTAGTGTGTAGTGTAGTGTGTAGTGTATAGTGTAGTGTAGTGTGTGGTGTAGTGTATAGTGTATAGTATAGTGTAGTGTGTAGTGTATAGTGTAGTGTATAGTGTAGTGTGTAGTGTAGTGTGTAGTGTATAGTGTAGTGTATAGTGTAATGTAGTGTATAGTGTAGTGTATAGTGTAGTGTATAGTAGTGTAGTGTATAGTGTAGTGTATAGTGTAGTGTATAGTGTAGTGTATAGTGCAGTGTATTGTGTAGTGTATAGTGTAGTGTATAGTGTAGTGTTTAGTAGTGTAGTATATAGTGTAGTGTATAGTGTAGTGTATAGTGTAGTGTATAGTAGTGTATAGTGTAGTGTATAGTGTAGTGTATAGTGTAGTGTATAGTGTAGTGTGTGGTAGATAAGGGGAGCGGTCGTGCCCGCCCGTGACGTCGATCCTCAACGTTGAACAGGGGGTTGCCCACGCGGGCATCGTGCGGCTGTTCCACCCCTTGGTGTCCCCCCGGTGCTTCGCTCTCGTCGCAAGCAAGACGGCCCAACCCGACATCCTCGCCTCCTCGTCGCCCTGAGACAACATCATCATCACCACCCTGCCATCATCGCCCTCGTCACCACCATCATCACCAACATCATCATCACTACCACCATCATCACTACCACCATGGTCAACACTGTCATCACCATCATCACCAACATCACATCATCATTACCAACATCATCACCACCACCATCATCACCAACATCATCACCACCATCATCACCACCATCATCACCACCACCATCACCACCATCAATCACTACCACCATGGTCACCACCATCATCACCATCATCACCAACATCATCATCACTACCACCATCATCACTACCACCATCATCACTACCACCATCATCACTACCACCATCATCACTACCACCATCATCACTACCACCATCATCACTACCACCATCATCACTACCACCATCATCACTACCACCATCATCACTACCACCATCATCACAACCACCATCATCACTACCACCATCATCACTACCACCATCATCACTACCACCATCATCACAACCACCATCATCACTACCACCATCATCACTACCACCATCATCACTACCACCATCATCACTACCACCATCATCACTACCACCATCATCAACTACCACCATCATCACTACCACCATCATCACTACCACCATAGTCAACACTGTCATCACCATCATCACCAACACCATCATCACTACCACCATCATCACTACCACCATCATCACTACCACCATCATCACTACCACCATCATCACTACCACCATCATCACTACCACCATCATCACTACCACCATCATCACTACCACCATCATCACTACCACCATAGTCAACACTGTCATCACCATCATCACCAACACCATCATCACTACCACCATCATCACTACCACCATCATCACTACCACCATGGTCACCACCGTCATCACCATCTTCACTATCACGGGCACCTCCACGAAGCGTCTCACTGCTGCCACTCACTGTGACGATCGAGGGGGACCCCCCCCCCCCACCCCCGACGCTGGCAGATGGCCCTGTGGGGCACAAGGACAGCTTTCAAAATCACTCGTTCACTCGCCTACCAGCTCACTCACCCACTCACCCGTTCACTCACCCATTCACCCACCCATTCACTCGCCTACCAGCTCACTCACTCACCCACCCACCCACTCACTCACCCACCTACTCACTCGCCTACTTGCTCACTCACTCACCCACTCACTCACTCACCCACCCACTCACTCACCCACCCACCCACTCACCCATTCACTCGCCTACCAGCTCACTCACCCACTCACCCATTCACTCGCCTACTCACTCACTCACCCACCCACCCACTCACCCGTCCAAGTCACTCACCTACTCGCTCACCCATCTAGCCACTCATCTACTCACCCACCTACTCACCCACCTACTCACTCACATACCCACCCAACTACTCACCCAACTACTCACCCACTCACCCACCCATTCACTCACCTACTTGCTCACCCACCCATCTACTCACCCACCCACCCACTCACCCATCCAATTCACTCACCTACTCGCTCACCCATCTAGCCACTCATCTACTCACCCACCTACTCACTCATATACCCACCCAACTACTCACCCACTTTCCCACCCACCCATTCACTCACCTCCTTGCTCACCCACCCATCCACTCACCCACCCACTCACCCATCCAATTCACTCACCTACTCGCTCACCCATCTAGTCACTCATCTACTCACTGGCCCACCTACTCACTCACATACCCACCCAACTACTCACCCACTCTCCCACCCACCCATTCACTCACCTCCTTGCTCACCCACCCATCCACTCACCCACTCATCCACTCACCCACCCACTCACCTACCCACTCACCCATCCAATTCACTCACCTACTCGCTCACCCATCTAGTCACTCATCTACTCACTGGCCCACCTACTCACTCACATACCCACCCAACTACTCACCCACTCTCCCACCCACCCAGTCACTCACCTACTCGCTCATCCACACACTCACCCACCCACTCACTCACCCACTCACTCACCTACCCAACCACCCACCTAATTGCTCGCCTACCCACCCACCTAATACCCACCCACTCACCTACCCACTCACCTGTTTCCCCATCCACTCACCCACCCACTCACTCACCCACCTACTCACCCACCTACTCACCCACCCACCTACTCACCTACCCACTCACCCGACACTGAGAACAATAGTTATGAAGTTATCTCCGTGTCTACGTTACAGTTCTGTGTAGAATTCTTTTTTTGTAATTTTAAACTACTGCTTAAAGAATAAATATAATATTAATCTATTTTTAACCTACTTTGTTTTCCTTTTGTGCTGGAAATCTCAGAGTGCATCTGTGTCCGCCACCCCATCCCGCCCACCACCCCTACAACTGTCCACCCACCCAGCAGTGATCCGTGTGGTGGGGTAAAGTGTGGTAATCCCACCGCGTGGTGAAGTATGGCCGCAACGGTGACTAGGAGATGTTAACTACCTCGCCTGGTATACAGGAGGTCGTGGGGTCGATCCCGACCCTGACGCCTGCTGTATATTTGGGGTTTGCGTCTTTATCATCATCACGGTGGCTAGGAGATGTTAACTACCTCGCCTGGTATACAGGAGGTCGTGGGTTGAATCCCGACCCTGATGCCTGCTGTGTATTTGGGGTTTGCGTCTTTCTTTATCATCATCACGGTGGCTAGGAGATGTTAACTACCTCGCCTGGTATACAGGAGGTCGTGGGTTGGATCCCGACCCTGACACCTGCTGAGTATTTGGAGTTTGCGTCTCTCTTTATCATCATCACGATGGCTAGGAGATGTTGACTACCTCGCCTGGTATACAGGAGGTCGTGGGGGTCGATCCCGACCCTGATGCCTGCTGCTGCTGTGTATTTGGAGTCTGCGTCTCTCTCTCCCCAGGGTCGTGTGAATTTTTCCCCCGGTCCTCCTGTATTTTCCTCCACATTTTGAATAAACATCACCACGCGTTTAGAGTGTTTGGCTGCCGCTCTTAATGTCCACGTGATAAGCCACTTCGCTGAGCTATCATGTGTGACCAGGTCGCTTCCGATAACGAGCTACACAGCTCAACGCGGCTTTACCCGGTAAATAAAATAGTTTATTTCCGGCTCACATAGAGACCCACGGACTCGCGTAGATACCCAAAGTGCTCGCCACAAATGGACCACAATGCCTTGCTGACCTCGTCAAGAAGCACAAAGCGTCGTCGCGCGGAACTCCGGTCATCCTCGCAAAGCGGCTTTTGGCGAACCTTCGAAATGCGCTTCTGCGGCCGTCTGGAACGCTCTTGCGATATACGAGGAAGCCGCTGGGAGCAGTGCTGCACTCTCAAATCATCATCTAGATTCACAAACGAATTTCTTTAGAACTGTTGTGTTATAATAGGGTTTTTCCCCTTTTTTCTGGCAACAAAACTTAAATCTTCTTACAAAGATTAATGTTTGCTTTAACCACAATACTTGCAGTCAAAATGCAAACAAAAAACACACTATGATAATATATGCATTGTCCTTGGTGTGGACCAATCGTCCCTTATATGATCATAGTGTGTGTTTTTTTGCATTTTGACTGCAAGCATTGTGGTGAATGCAGACATGAATCCTTATAAAAAGGTTTCAGTTTTGTTGCCAGAAAAAAGGAAAAAACCCCTATTATTATATTTTGGTACTGGCAAAGGAGGTCTAATGAAACTGTTGCGTTCAGTTTGTCATCCCCCCTCCCCCCAGCACCTTCGATTGGCGCGGTTGGCTACGTACGGTGGGTGGTGCGAAGTAAGTTCAACGTACGAACGTCCCGACGCGAAGACTCGTGTGATGGCACGTCGGCTCATGCCTAAAGACTTGCGCAGACAGAGTCGAGGTGAAACCCGTTTCTCAGGTGTCGCCAGTTGCCGAGTCTTCGTCACGGCCGACCGAGACTCACGGGAGAATTTGCTTATTTTTAAATCCTTTATATTAAGTTCACTTGCTTGCTTGCTTGCGCGCTTACGACCGTGCAAATCTTTCGGTCGTTTTTTTAACCCACTTCCCGTGATCCAATCGAGCTGACATTTTGCACACAGACTCGTGCGTGACAATTTTCGTGAAAATTTTTTTCCAAAATTTTCCACTTTTTAGGAAAACATTTTTTTCATATTTAATTTAAAATACCAATGTGAAAAAAAATGAAACTCTTACTCAAGAAAAACAGAAATGAATAATAAAATAAAACCGATGCCACGCATATAAAGGATTTATAGTGAAAAACTTTGTTTTTACGGGTTAATTTTTTACAAATGACACGTTTGGGTTCATTCCAGCTCCCTAAATATCAGCGTCACTTCCACGCAAGGCGAGAGGAAGAGAGAGACACGCAAACTCCATATACACAGCAAGCGTCAGGGTCGGGGTCGAACCCACGACTAGAGGATAAGCCCACTCCGTTGAGCTGTCGTTTGCGATGACCAGGTCGCTTCTACCTGGTCAGCTGCATCGCTCAGTGGGGCCTTATCTGGTAAAATAAAACTATTAAAAACAGTTTAATCGGCCTCTCTAACCCTCCCAATGCTTTACTGCTGTACTATACTCTTTTTTATTTTATTTTACTGGCTTAAGGGCCACTGAGCTATGTAACTCTTTTTCAGAAGCGGCCTGGCCACAACTGAAAGCTCAACAAAGTGGCTGATCGCGTGGAGATGTGTAGCGGTAGTGAAATTGTCTAAACGCGTGTTGCTGAATGTGGAGGGAACAAGCAGAGGACCCGGAGGAAAATCCACGCGACCATTGGGAGAGAGAAACACGCAAACTCCAAATATGCAGCAGGCGTTTGGTTCGGGATTTAACCCACGACATCCTTTATACCAGGCGAGGGAGTTAACATCTCCTAGCCACCATGATGATGATGAGAGAGAGACACGCAAACTCCAAATATGCAGCAGCAGGTATCGTCATGGTCGAGATCGAACCCACGACCTCCTGTATACCAGGCGATGGAGTTAACATCTCCTAGCCACCGTGATGATGAGAAAGAAACACGCAAACTCCAAATATACAGCAGCAGGCGTTTGGGTCGGGATCTAACCCACAACCTCCTGTAGACCAGGCGAGGGAGTTAACATCTCGCCACGTTTTCTTTTTGCTTCTGAAGTATGGGCTCCGAATAATTTAAGTGAAAAATGTGAAGTGCATTCGTCATTTGTGGGTGTGGGTGGTTGTAGTCTTTGGTACGGGGAGCCGTGGGCACAGTGGTTAACGCTACAGGGCGACCCGAGTTCGATTCCCGCTCATGGCCACCAGCAACCAATGACGATGAATCTGAACCGGTCCTGGGCCTCCTCCCCCTAGGTCGACTCGGCCTCAAATAAGTACTTGGGGCGGTGTACAGTAAATATCGCCACTGGGGAGACAAAGGCGGTCGGGCGTGGTGCTGGCCACCCACCCCCTCGTGTGCCGTGCCGGCCTTTATAGGTGCTACTCGCTAACAGCACTTGCCCCTGTAGTCTGTTCTTTGGGTCTTTCGGTAAACTAGATTACCACTCGTCCACCATGCCTATTGCATGCGCTATCCGCTGCTGGCCTAGACTACCACTAGTCCACCATGCCTGTTGCATGCGCTATCCGCTACTGGCCTAGACTACCACTAGTCCACCATGCCTGTTGCATGCGCTATCCGCTGCTGGCCTAGACTACCACTAGTCCACCATGCCTGTTGCATGCGCTATCCGCTGCTGGCCTAGACTACCACTAGTCCACCATGCCTGTTGCATGCGCTATCCGCTGCTGGCCTAGACTACCACTAGTCCACCATGCCTGTTGCATGCGCTATCCGCTGCTGGCCTAGACTACCACTAGTCCACCATGCCTGTTGCATGCGCTATCCGCTGCTGGCCTAGACTACCACTAGTCCACCATGCCTGTTGCATACGCTATCCGCTGCTGGCCTAGACTACCACTCGTCCACCATGCCTATTGCATGCGCTATCCGCTGCTGGCCTAGACTACCACTAGTCCACCATGCCTGTTGCATGCGCTATCCGCTGCTGGTCAAGACTACCACTAGTCCACCATGCCTGTTGCATGCGCTATCCGCCGCTGGCCTAGACTACCACTCGTCCACCATGCCTGTTGCATGCGCTATCCGCTGCTGGCCTAGACTACCACTCGTCCACCATGCCTGTTGCATGCGCTATCCGCTGCTGGTCTAGACTACCACTAGTCCACCATGCCTGTTGCATGCGCTATCCACTGCTGGCCTAGACTACCACTCGTCCACCATGCCTGTTGCATGCGCTATCCACTGCTGGCCTAGACTACCACTCGTCCACCATGCCTGTTGCATGCGCTATCCGCTGCTGGCCTAGACTACCACTAGTCCACCATGCCTGTTGCATGCGCTATCCACTGCTGGCCTAGACTACCACTCGTCCACCATGCCTGTTGCATGCGCTGCTGGCCTAGACTACCACTAGTCCACCATGCCTGTTGCATGCGCTATCCACTGCTGGCCTAGACTACCACTCGTCCACCATGCCTGTTGCATGCGCTATCCGCTGCTGGCCTAGACTACCACTAGTCCACCATGCCTGTTGCATGCGCTATCCGCTGCTGGCCTAGACTACCACTAGCCCACCATGCCTGTTGCATGCGCTATCCACTGCTGGCCTAGACTACCACTCGTCCACCATGCCTGTTGCATGCGCTATCCACTGCTGGCCTAGACTACCACTCGTCCACCATGCCTGTTGCATGCGCTATCCTCTGCTGGCCTAGACTACCACTCGTCCACCATGCCTGTTGCATGCGCTATCCTCTGCTGGCCTAGACTACCACTCGTCCACCATGCCTATTGCATGCGCTATCCACTGCTGGCCTAGACTACCACTCGTCCACCATGCCTATTGCATGTGTAGGGGTTATTACGGGAGAAACAGCGGACAACAAACACAGGGCTGTCGGCACTCACATACACGGGTGGTCACACCGACGTCCGCATCAGTTATTGCCCACGCCCCCAGCCCTTGGAGGCGATCCCTATAAAAGGTGGAACCCAAAGAGCTCGAGTTGAGTTCGACACGAAGCTGACCAGTGAAGATCCAAGACTCGGAGATTAGGCCCTGGGACTCCCCGGTCTCGCCGTCCTTATAAGGGCCGAGCCGGGTAAGCCAGTGGCGCGGCCCAGGAGCTTCCAGACCGCTGCCCTTGTCAGGGCAAGGCTGGTTAGCTGGTGCCGAGATCTGTGCTTGCCAGGGCCAGATCAGTCAGCCTCCCGTAGCCCAGTAGAGGAGGACTGGGGGACAGGACAGAGGGCTTAGTACTAGGGTGGGTTTCCCATAGTACGGGTGAAGGGGCCGATACCCCTTCAACTATTGTATCTGTCCCGGAGTTAATAAACAGTGTGT